AGCATTACCAGAGCCATAGGCGTGGATTTTTTAAAGAAAAATTTTGCAAGCATTACCAGAGCCATAGGCGTGGATTTTTTAAAGAAAAATTTTGCAAGCATTACCAGAGCCATAGGCGTGGATTTTTTAAAGAAAAATTTTGCAAGCATTACCAGAGCCATAGGCGTGGATTTTTTAAAGAAAAATTTTTCAAGCATTACCAGAGCCATAGGCGTGGATTTTTTAAAGAAAAATTTTTCAAGCATTACCAGAGCCATAGGCGTGGATTTTTTAAAGAAAAATTTTTCAAGCATTACCAGAGCCATAGGCGTGGATTTTTTAAAGAAAAATTTTTCAAGCATTACCAGAGCCATAGGCGTGGATTTTTTAAAGAAAAATTTTTCAAGCATTACCAGAGCCATAGGCGTGGATTTTTTAAAGAAAAATTTTTCAAGCATTACCAGAGCCATAGGCGTGGATTTTTTAAAGAAAAATTTTTTTCAGGATGCATCCAACAAGGCGTGGATTTTTTAAAGAAAAAATTTTCAGGCATTACCAGAGCCATAGGCGTGGATTTTTTAAAGAAAAAATTTTCAAGCATTACCAGAGCCATAGGCGTGGATTTTTTAAAGAAAAATTTTTCAAGCATTACCAGAGCCATAGGCGTGGATTTTTTAAAGAAAAATTTTTCAAGCATTACCAGAGCCATAGGCGTGGATTTTTTAAAGAAAAATTTTTCAAGCACTACAAGGCGTGGATTTTTTAAAGAAAAATTTTTCAAGCATTACCAGAGCCATAGGCGTGGATTTTTTAAAGAAAAATTTTTCAAGCATTACCAGAGCCATAGGCGTGGATTTTTTAAAGAAAAATTTTTCAAGCATTACCAGAGCCATAGGCGTGGATTTTTTAAAGAAAAATTTTGCAAGCATTACCAGAGCCATAGGCGTGGATTTTTTAAAGAAAAATTTTGCAAGCATTACCAGAGCCATAGGCGTGGATTTTTTAAAGAAAAATTTTGCAAGCATTACCAGAGCCATAGGCGTGGATTTTTTAAAGAAAAATTTTTTAAAGAAAAATTTTTCAAGCATTACCAGAGCCATAGGCGTGGATTTTTTAAAGAAAAATTTTGCAAGCATTACCAGAGCCATAGGCGTGGATTTTTTAAAGAAAAATTTTGCAAGCATTACCACAGCCATAGGCGTGGATTTTTTAAAGAAGATTTTTTCAAGCATTACCAGAGCCATAGGCGTGGATTTTTTTAAGAAGATTTTTTCATGCATTCAGGGTAAAGAGTATAAAAAATTCCGTAGCAAAACCTAACGACGTTTTTATTTGTTCTCAATTTTGTTACTTCGGAGAATGAGGTTTTTTGTTTAAAACGATTTTTTTGTTTTTCGCCACAAAACGTAATTTAAAAATTCCTATCTGCTCATAAATTCTTACAACTTTTTTTCTCTCTACTCTTACGGTAATTGAATTTTATTGAACGTCATTTCTTGTCCTTTCCTCCCTGTCTTTCTTTTTCCGCTTTTTTTCACAAATTAAAGTAGCAACTCTCGACCTTTGGTGGCTGACACCGGTTATTGGGCTGAATCTTTGCCCCTTATGGATGCACCTCTGTGCGCTGTTATTGATCCCATACGTGATTATCGTTGGCATGCCTTGCGCTGTGGTGGTCCGGAGACAGCATCGTTTTTGTGTGAAATGCCAGGTAAGAGAAACGAAAAGAACAACAAAAATTGAAATCCAAAAACAAGAGCACTTCCAAAACAGAAAAACTCTGTGTATGAAATAAAACTTAATTAAAGCCGAAAAAAGACGAAGCAAAGCAAAACAAAAAAATTGACAACGAAAGATGTGGCACAAGCCTCTACTTTCAAAATGACACTCTGCATTCTGTGATCACAACAGGGCAATACATACAATGGAATTTATTATTTTTTGTCCTTTTTTGTCTTTTTGTTACTTATTCATGGTAATTTATTGTTCTTCATTTTGTTGTGGTTCTCTGCTCTTTTGTTTCCCTTCACTTTGCAGTGCCAACTTGGGCCGATGTGTGCATCCTCAAGGATATGCCAAATTTAACAATGCAATATATGGCCGATACGGCAAGCATCGAACTCATACGCAATTGCCAGGAAGAGGGTCTATTGCGGACAACATGTCAAGGAAAGCAGGTGAGTGAGTGGCTTATATGTGTGTGTATGTGTTTGCATGTATGTGTGAGAGTGTATATTTATGTTCAATAAAAGGCAATGAAAAAAATTCTGCACTGAAGTGAATTATTTTTCAATAATGGTTCGGTTGGTTCTTTTCTGTGTGCTGCCGTCACAGAAACAAACTAAAGAAAGTAATTTAATTAAAAACTTTTTAAAAAAACAATTAATATTGTTTATGTTTTGCTGCTCATTCGTTAGTGAAATGTCTTGTGGCACTGAGCGCAACAGGAAAAATTGAAATCAATAATTGGAGTGAATGTGTGGAAATGGGGGGAAATGGGGGGAAATGGATCTTTCGAGATGGGGAAATACAATACAATTAGGAATGAAATAAATGGGCATATTTTCAGCAGTCTTATTTTTGTGTATGATTTTAGAAGGTTCGTTGTTAGCATAAGGAAGTTATTATAACACCAGAAAGTGGGACAGTATAATCCGACGAGACCGACTACATAATACCCTACTAAACTACCACGGAACTCTAACTTTATGAGAATCTATATTCAGAGATTTGGCGATATTTGATATTTTGACCGATTAGAGGTTAGCAACTCCTCCTTCTTACTCTGACATATTTTTCGAATCTAGTTTTCCCGACTAGACCGACTATATAATAACCTACTAACTACCACGAAACTCTATCTTTCTGTGAATCTATATTCAGAGATTGGGCGATATTTTCAAACTCTTGAACTCTTCCTCTTGAACAGTTCCTCTTTCTTACTCTGTCATATTTTTCGAATCTAGTTTTCCCGGGGTCAACATTTACATTTTTGGATGATCCGAACCGCAGAAAATTGACTGATCATTATCAAAACAGGCATTCTAATGAGATGCCTGGATCCGCTTTCCGTGTTCAGAGACTGGACGATATTTTCAACCCCTTGACCGATTAGCTCCGTCAACAGCTCCTCTTTCTTACTCTGTCATATTTTTCGAATCTAGTTTTCCCGGGGTCAACATTTACATTCTTGGATGACCCGAACCACTGAATATTGACTGATCATTATCAAGACAGGCATTCTAATTAGATGGCTGTATCCCCATTCCCGTTCGATACTCGACGTAAAAAATTAATATGTCTTCTGTCCATTACTTACTTAGCTGGCTTGTGACAGAACATTTGTTGCATAAGCCAACTTTAAAAAGGATGTTCAGGCGCGTCGATATTGTGCGCAGCTCATCCAATTTGAAAGACCATGTTCCGAGATGTTTCCTTCTACTTTATCTTTCCATCGAATTCGTGGCTTATCCACCGTATTGTGTGAACGTGGCAGTCGTTCACACAATACGGTGGATAACACTTTATATGCGATGGGAAGGAGACTTATTCCTCTATAGTTAACACATATCGCCTTCTCCCCTTTTTTGTGTACCGGACACAAGATGCTAAGGTTCCAATCATTGGGCATGCATTCCTCTAGTCAAATTGTACTAATCAGCTAGTGTATGATTCTTTCCATCTTCATAACTACAAGAGGATGTGCACGCACCAAAGCCTTCGATTTGGTGTTTTAATCATTGGTAAAATTTTCGAACTGCATTCCTACTCCTGTACATCTCGATTCGATCCCGCTCATGCTTTTCTTGATCTTTCTTATTTTTTCTGATAGTAGGGGAGAGGGGGGCACCTTTGAACGTGGGGCACCTTTGAACAGCGCTCATAAAATCTTGGTTTAACATTTTTCCGACCCGCAACCACATTTTTGTATATGGCAATCTTGTTCTCTATATGCGTAAACCACTTTGGCTTGCTTTTTCAGTTGTCGAAAAATTGGGCATGGGTGACCATGTTTTCTAAGTGTCATTGTAAACTTTTATTCATTTGGTTGTAAGGGCGCAGGAAGAATTCTGTGATAGTTTTCTTTCGTCAAACAAATTTTTGGCATTCAAACAATCATTTCAAACATAACTAATGTAATTTCTTTCATATATATTTATTACAAAAAAAGTTATTTTAAATTTCCGTAAAATGCCATGGGTGGGGCACCTTTGAACATGCCCATTAAACTCGAGTAAAAAAAGGAGTTTTTAACTTTTGGCTTCGATTTCTCAAAATTTCAAATGGGCTAATAAGATTACGAAATTAACTGTATTTTTCACAATATTAATTTGTATTTTTAAGACATTTTATGTTTTAATAATTTTTGATCTAAATTTTTTTTAAATTTTGAACATTTTTTATATATTTTTTAATGAATTAATGCATTTCTGATATGTATGAATAAAATACATACATATTTGAACATAAACACTGTAAAAAACCACGTCGTTCAAAAATGCCAACCCCTGTTCAAAGGTGCCCCCCTGGGGGGCAGTTTTGAACACTTTGAGTTCGTCCATTAAAACAGTAATAAAATATATTTATCAAGCTTATAGTATGTCATATGTATATTCATTTTAAAGGTTACATATGTACCTATTAGTTAAAATTTATAAGAAACCAAAAATGATAAAATAAAAAATTTTATAAGGCTTGAAAGCAAAAAGTGTTCAAAGGTGCCCCCCTCTCCCCTAATGGTCCGAACCAATATTCGCTCCTCGGATCGATAGAACGTCTTAAACACTGGATTAGTGCCTCCCGTCTACCACAACATGATCAATTTGATTTCTCGTTGTTCGATGGGGAGAAATACAGGTGGTATTGTGTATATCGAGATGATTGAATCTGAAGTTGCTAACTACCATTTTTTTGCTGCCGCGAAGTCAATCAACCCCATGCCTTTGTCTGATGTTGGTTTATGGAGACTATTTTGTACCTTTCCGATTTTTGCATTAAAATCTCCTAACAGAATTTTTATGTCATGGCCAGGGCAGTGGTCATTTGCTGTTTCTAGGCGCTCGTTCATCTTTGTCGTCCGTCGGAACATTGGCACAAATAAGACTGATGTTGAAGAACTTCCTTTTTATGCGGATTATATCAATTCGCTGATTTAGTGGAATGAATATGGAGATGATCTCTTTTATTCTCCTGTTAACCACAAATCCGCAGCCAATTTCATGTCTCGTTTCATGGCAGAATACAGTGCATAATCATCCGATTTATTTACGCCTGCCCCTTTGCCTTAAATTTTTTGTAAGGCAATTATGTCTGCTTTGTACTTGTTGAGTACATCCTCTAAAGCGAAAACTGTTCCGAGTGTGGGCAACTAAAGCGACGCTTCGACCAGTTTTTTTTTATAATTGTTATGCGTGAACTCGCTCACTATTTCAACGGGTGATGAAAGTAGCTACACAGCGTGGGGTCAGTGTCCACAATTAAGATGAAAGAGGGACCAAGATCAGATCTGTTGCGTCATAGCTATGACAACTCTCGATTTATTGCATTTAATATATATTTTTATACTTTCAGGATCGTGAACGCGCTCTGCAAGATTTAATTTGCCCCCGAGAACGTTTGGAAGCTCAACGCATTAATGACATTACCACATCCCATTTCAAGTCCTTGCAAATTATCAATAGCATACCATCCGACAACAACGAGAATAATGATATTGAACTTCTACCCATGGATGTTAGCTATGGACCGGCCCATTATAGCGGTGGCGAAGAAGATTTACAAACCGAAAAGAATACCGTGCAACGTCTCATAGAACAATTTAATGTTGATGAGCTAATGCAAGCTGATGAACCCGCTAATATGGAAAGGGTTAGCTCCTTTTACAAAATCCCCGGTCTAATACCAAAACCTGTTAAGAAATCTGCCAAAAAGGTAGTGGAATATCCCAAAAAGGAAAATGGTAAGAAGCAAACCGTAGTACAGGATAAACAAGGACGTGTTCCCTTGGAAATGGATGAAATGATGTTGGGTGATCAGCCACAGGGTGAACCAGAAATGCCAGAACAAATACTAAATGAAGAGGTTTCGAATGAGATTTTGGAACCATTGCCGCACATTAAGAAGACCAATATCCACAAGGAGGCAATGGAGAAAATGGAAAAGGAGGCCATTGCCATAAAGGAGAGCATGCAGAGGAGTAAGGAAATGGAGGCGCAGAAGAAGAAGGCGGCGGAGGTAGCTGCAGCAGCGGCAATTATCACCACCACCACGATGGCTACGACAACAGAAGAGATTACCACAACCACGGGGCTATTAACAACTACCACAATGAAGCCAGAAACTAGTTCTGTTGTTAGCTCTACCACTGAAGCTTTTGTTGTTAGCTCTTCAACCTCCAACCCTGGTGTTAGTACAACCACTAAAGATGTTGATGTGAATGTACATCAAGAAACCTCAACACCACTGGATTTGGAATCATCAACATTGGGTCATGGCTCGGCCATCTACTCCTCTACAACCCCTCCCGCCACCATTGGCCATCCAATGCATCCCCAGCAACCTCGCAGCACTGTCATAACCGAGGAAACCCAACATGGCCATGTTAAAGAGTCGGCCGACAATTCACATTTCATACCGCCCATGTTGATGGTAAAATCTCATTATGTACCCCAAGCCAACAAACATGGCCACAATGAACATCAAGTACATGCACCTCACGCCCCAGGTCAGCAGCAGCAGCACATGGATGCCCATGACACCACCCACTACAATGAAGATCTTACAACAAAGAGCCACTCTGACATGGCGATGACAACTGCTAAAGTGATAGATTTTGAGTCCTCAACAACAACCACAGCAAGCACAACATTGAAATCCAAGGACATTGAAAGAACATCCGAAGCGAATCATCATCAACATCAGAACCACCAGGAGCAGCAAAAAATTGACAAGGCGGAAAAAAAAATTACCCCGGAATCCGATGGACATTTGCAAACGAAACCATTCGTAGAAGAAACAACAGAAAATGGCAACATGATACCAATTACTCAGTCCGAATTTCTAACAAAGGAAGAGGAACCGGAAGAACAGCAAATCGGTAAACATAACGAAAATATGAAATTGGAGCAGGAAGTTCTGGCAACGAGTCATGCAAATGCCGTCGAAGTTGTTACAACTCCAGCTACCCCCTTGACCTCCACCATCATCATCACATCGACTGCCGAATCCCTTGCTACAGAATCGACCACCACCACCACAAGCACCATAAATCCTCACGAAGATAAAACTTCACAGACAACCACAATGAAGCTGGTCGAACAAACCGAATCTCCAAATACCAGTGATGACATTGCAGATAAAACCGAACTGCCAGCTGATGCTGTTCGGGCGACACAAGCAATTGTAATGAAAGAAATACAAAGCCAACCAGCAGCAGACATGGACGAAGATGGTGATGATGATGCCATGGAGACAGAACAAACCACAAAACTAGTTGAGGAGACTGCGGCAACTGCAATGACGACGCAAGGACATTCCGTTGTTGCGGCAGAGCTAAAACATGATTTGGTAACAGAAACTCCAACACCAGCAGGGCTGACAACCACTGAGAATACTGCAGAACAAGAGACGACAAAAATAACACCTACAACAATCACAGCAACAACAAATGTGGCAAGCAACAGCAACAACAACAATAGCCCTGTACAAGCGTCGACAATAACGAATTTAAATAACCAAAAAGATGCAGAAAAATCCTCAACGGAGGAAGTACAAACTAGTCAAACAACAACACAAACAACAACAACTGCAATAGCAGATGATACAAAGCGTATCCTTGCTAAGGATATCCAAACAACATCCGGTTTAATCACAGACCAGGAAAACGAGCAACACAAAGCCAAAGCAACAGAGACAACGGAAGGAAACGAAGCTGCCGTAAAGGGTGAATCGGCCACGGGTATAACAACAGAAAAGGCGTCGGAATCGACTAGTTCCCGGCCAACGACAACACTAAATCCCAACACAGAGACACAGAAGGAAAATAACACCAATGCAGCAACAACACAAGCCACAACAACATTTGAAACTACCAGCAGTAGCACAATAACACCACCAATATCCTCGCCATTGCCTTCATCAACGTCTACCACCACTACCACAACAGCAACACAACCTCCTCCCACCACCACCACAACAACAACCACCACGCCACCACCACCATTTTCTTCATCAACAGAAACTACACGAAATTTCTTAAAAGTTACCACAGAAATGCCATTTAAACCAAATCGCCGACGCTCTCTAACCAAACCGGAAACCGTAAGTTATATGAAGAAAATTTTAGGTTAAGCTTTACAAGAACAACAAAAAAAAAGTAAAATAAATGCGGAAAGGTATTTAGAAAATAAAAGAAAACACACAATTCAAAGAGTTTGTGTATTGGGATGTAATGTATATTGCGATATGCAAAAGGTCTTCTGCGTCACTTTTTATCGGTCTTTTATAAATACAAAATCTAAAAAATCGAAAATAGATCTTCAATAGCCGATTTACGTATCCTCTAACATTAGACCAACTGCCTGAGGAAACTCCTCCACAGACAGGTCTTCTAACGTTAGAGTATGCGTATGTCGACTATTGAAGATCTATTTTCGATTTTTTGAATAACCAATTTCGAATATCTATAAGGAGCTCGATTTCGATTGAAGGTCTATTTCGAATATCTAAAAGGATCTCGATTTATACTTCTGCTCTCATCTATGGGTCTTCTATAAATAATAATATCTTCTAAGTCAACTTTAGATTTTTTTAAATAGATTTTAGATTTTGATTACAATACGATCTCGCACTCCCGGACGAGTTTTAATAAGTCTTTTATAAATAAACGGTCTTCTATTGGTATAGGAAAGCTAGGTATAAGTAAGTCGACTTTTGGAGATTATCGATTTTTTTTTAATAATAAAATTCCGAATATCTTTAAGGAACTCGATCTCGACTTTCTCACATGTTTTGGGTCCTCTATAAATAAAAGACGTTCTAGAAAATTCAATACATATAAAGTGGGTCTTCTATTGTTAGCGGACTACTAGGGATACGTACGTTGTCTCTCGACTTTTTCAAGCTGATTTTCGATCTAGTTTGATTAATAAGACTTACAAATTCGATCGATTAGATGTATTCCATAGGCAGATTTTCTATCGTTCGAGGACAACTAGGTATACGTAAGAAGACTTTTGGAGATCTATTTTCGATTTTTTTAATAACACATTTCGAATATCTGTGGGGAACTCGATCTCGACTTTTGCTCTCACAGGTCTTCTATAAATAAAAAATCTTCTAGAAGATTCCATAGATATTATATTCTATGTATTGTTATTGGTCGACTAGGGATATGTAAGTCGACTTTCGATTATTTAAACGTATTTTAGATTTATATTCTCTGTAAATAAATCGATCTTGATTCTCAATAGAATCTCTAGCGATCTCTACAATTTTCTATAATCAATTTGTATGATCTAACCTCGATATTATTTACATCCTGAATAGTATGTGTAATATGGTTTATAACGATGTATAGTTCGCGAACGAACTAGTTCAGATGGACGATTCAGTTGAAAGAGCAAGTGAACTAGTTCAGTCAAAGTCGTTCTTTATAGTTCATTTGTTATTTACCAGCTGTCAGTACTATTTTATCGTCGTCGTTCACGATTATGCATCGACGAACTATTGGATTAAAAGAACGAAATAGTTCGTTCATAAGAGCTGAACTAAAAAGAGCGATCTTCTTAAGGAAATTGTTAAGAAACATACTGCGGTGGTGCAGGAGATACAAGGCGTGCGTGTCTTTGGAAATGTTTGAAATTATGTTGGGTGATCAGTCACAGTGTGGACGAGAAATGTCCCAGCATATTCTAAAAGAAGTTTAAATCTCTTCCTTTAGAATTTGCTGGGTCATAGATTTTTGGAACCAAAAAGACTAAAAGACCAAAGAGAGGCGCTAGAGCGGTTGTAGAAGACTGCAAAGACTTTGATAGCTGCTGATTCGTCAATTATCAACAGCATGACGGCAGAGTGGTTTACCACAATCATGGGAGTATTGAAAACAGATACAAGTGCAGAAATTAGACCTATTGTCAGTACCAAAGCTTTTGTTGTCAGGTCAACAACCTCCAACCTAGGGATACGTAGTCGAGCCCAAAAGTTTACTTTTAGACTTTTCAATTTTTGCACCTCCCAAAAAATCTTTTTTTAGATTTTTCGATGAATTTCTTTGTAGACAACAAGATTTATAACGAAGGAACCGGCGAAAGTCGACTTTGGGATTTCGTCCACGACCAACATACGATTGGTTGAAAGCCGATTTATATATCCCTAGTCCGGCTGAAAATATACCAAATCCACAAATACTTCGGGTAGGCTTCTAGTCCCTTCAGCAAGGTATCAGATTATCCACAGCATTGCTTGCCAAGTTAAGTTTGTCCGGACGTAGTCCGGCAGAGTCAGATATGTCCATCTTGGGATTACTTAATATACGATAGAAATCAGACCATTTGTAATGAACCATGTGTATGTATACAACGGCAAACCCCATAGCAAATAGAAGACTCTTGGAATTCCTTTGACAGATTTTGTCAATTAGTTCGAAATTATTTTATGCTATGTACAGACCAGCGTTGTTCGCTCTCTCATTCGTTGTTCGACCCTTAATTATGAAGTAATTACTTAGTTCCCCATACAAAATTGTCTGAGCGAACCCCGACTTTTCTACGTTGTTCAATTCGGAATCACCAAGAAATTTGTCCCATCCCTAACAACTGAGAGCATTTATCGAAAATAATTTAATTTTGACAGCTTGAAAATATTTAAAGTAAATAGATATGGGTTCATACTATAGTCAGGAGAAAGAGAATTAATTTTTCTATTTAGATCCATATGTGATTCATGTAAATATGTTAGAATTTTGGCGTAAAACAAGAAACAAAATGTTTGAAATAAAAAACTCTGATGACATGAATTAGGAATAGTGTTGTATGAACGGGCTAATTCATGTACGTAATTCTGAGAGCGAACTACGTTGTTCCGATGCCCGTCAGATCATGGCATTAGCTCTATTGGTATTTGATTTTCGATTTTATCGACTACCACAAAGTTGATTATTTTTTTAACAGCTGATGGAATTTTGTTATTAACCGATTAGTCAAAAGTTGATTTGTGTGTCCCTAGTCAGGTTTAGGGATACGTAGTCGAGCGCAAAATTCGACTTTTCGATTTTGGCCTCTGACCAAAAAGTCGACTTTATAATCTTACGATAGATCGAATTTCGATTTTACCGTATAATGCAAAATCGTTTATTTCTTTTTTATAAGAATTGTTGTCAATTCCTGGAATGTGTAATTTTTGGGCAATTTCGGTATTTACGAAGAAAATCGAAAGTCTGTCTTGAAGTTTTCAAAGATTTTGCGATTTTCTCAAAGATCAAAATTAAATATCGACTTTTATACTTTTCAATATAAAAAATCGATTAGTCGAAAGTCGGTTTACTTATCCGGATGATCATGATAATGTGATAATGTGTCTAAATCAAAATTGCTTCGGGTAGGCTTCTAGTCCCTTCAGTATGGTATCAGCATATATCCGTTGTTGATTGTCAAACTAACTTCGTCTCAACGTGCCGCTGCCGTTGTATAAAGTCGTCATACTGAAAATGATAGGCTTATTGTCCCTTCGTTGATACTTAGCAGACTATGTCTGGCCCTTCCATTGCCATACAATGGGCGGAATGGGCTCCTATAAATTATATAGTAGGACTATAATTGGAAAGAATTCATTGCGAACATTAAACGAATTGGTAGACTTATTTAGATCTGGACATTAATCCGGATATAAATCTGCCCAGTGAGCTGGCATTTTGCGTACAGAACTCAATACGTAGGGTTCTATAGGTAGAATAACTTACAGATAGGTAGAATAACTTATAGACAGATAATATTACCCAGATAAGGCTTCATTATACAGGTCTTAGGGCATCAGGTTTCTATTGACCTTGCACAAGTACCTTATAAACAGGTTATATGTATTCTATAAACTGAAGTCCCTATTAAATAAATATTAAATGTCTTTGAAATATAGAGGATCTTTATTCGACAGGTTTCTATACATAACTTAAGTCTCTTCTTACATAAATCCCCAGGTCTTAGATTTTGCATAAATTGAAGACCCGATACAATATTTATTCTAAATATACAATATTTATTTTCTTGCGATAATACTTTGTATATTGATGCACTAAGGAGAAGACCATTTACAAGTTTTCTATAGATCGAATACCTCCTACAAATTTTTGTAAAGAAAAAAAAGAATACCTTCAGCAGACTATTAGGTAAATCACCTTTTACAAGTCTTCTATAGTTACAAGACCTCTGTCCTTCGTCCTTCTGCAAGTCTTGCATAGATAGGCAACCATATTTATTAGGGTGGTTTGGCAGGTCTGCAATGTATCTACAAAACCCTTCTATCTAAGTACAGTCTGCCTAAAAAAAGACCTGCCATCAATCGTCTTCTCACAGAAGACTTCTACCTTTGACCTTCTATTAAAATTTATATTCAAATTAGTTTGCAAACCATTTGTGCGTTACACCCTAATATACAAACTTTACGAATAAATATGAAATGCATTGAAAATAAACAACTACAAGAAAAAATATATAGTAACATATACAACAAATGTAGAAAATAAAGAATAAATGAAAACATGCACAAACTGAATATAATTTCCAAAAAGTTTTTAGTGTTATGAAACAAAAACAACCAAACCCCTTTAGTAGTATAGCAACAACCCGAATCACTTAATCCTTTAAATCATGGTATAATAATAAAAGGTAACAGCAAGTGTTGTTGTACAAAAAACGATACAACAACCACATGGAAATTTGTTGTTGTAAGTTCTACTAGTGTCAACTCATTTGACAGAAAAATGTAAACAAACAAACAAATTATCATGAAATTATTTTTATTTTGAAAATGGAATATTTTCGAATCCTCAAAATAAAAATTGAAAAACATGAATGAAAATCTATCAAATTTATATTTCTATCGCTTCCAAATCTTTCCTTTAATTGAGCCATTGCCATATATGTGTGTAACACATATGACAATGCTGGGAATAGCGAGTAATTCCTTCAAGAAAGATTTGCTTCCTCAAACTTTCCCAGCAGGCAGATTGAGTAAATTAATAAAGAACAATTTCAAATTGTATGCGTTCCCAATTTTCCTGTTGGGTGATTTTTAAAAACATAATTTGTCAAATTTATATTGACACTAGTATTACGTTGGAATCAAATCAGCTGGAATTTGCTGTTACCTTTTATAATTGT